GCTGCTGGTGTCTATGTTCAAAGAGAACATAAGTGTTCGTTCTATTTGTGCAGCATACAAGGAGCAGATATAAGGAAAACAACAGCAAAAAAGGGTGCAAGCATTGACAAAGATATATGACTAAAGGTCAACGACCAAAGTACTGGATCGCATGACAGGGCGAATTTCAGTAAAGTGCATTGTCTTGAGCCGCGATAGTTGCCATGAAGGCTTTTTTTTCTGCAAGTCTGATAGTGGAGCTTTCAGAAGTCCTTTCGCGTTTTATAATAAAACTGTTTAGGAGTAGGACCTTCTGCATGATTCCCAAAATAGCATGATTAAATCTTTTTGTCCTGGTATTCACCCTCTGATTGGAAAACGACTCTCGTAGGCAGGACAGAGGTAGGTACCTGACGATAGTTTAAGAACCATGTCAAGAAATGGAGGAAAATTTACATTCTTCTAGTCACTTAGATTGCCAGCACCTTAGAAATCAGCCACGACAACGTTACCTGAATTTGTACGCACATATCGTGATCGCTCTGAACAGAAAATGACATTTATCTTTTGTCGTTTCTTGTGACATTAATACGAATGCTGACTGTAGTTCATTCATCAGAGTTAGTAATCAGAGTGTCCGTCTCATAGGCAGATTTTCTATGAAGGTATAGTGATGTCTGTCATGTCTGATTACCGCAGAACCGTTTGCTTGGCGTTTCAAGTTTTATGGAATGTTGGTGAGCCACTGTATTTCGTTTGGAGCTTAGAGTTTGCCTGCCCTCCACCATCTTGGCAATGAGATGAGATTTGTGTAGATCTAAAAGTTGCAAGTTAACTAATTTAAAGTTAATTGCACCTGCTTAAGAGGATATCGAAAATAACGCAATAATGAAATAAAAAAACATCTCATTTGTCACAATATTTTGCTAGGCATATAGTAAGAAAAAAGATATTATACATCTATGTATACTTATTGAGTAATTAGCGGCACGTTTCGAAGTAGACGCGCTACAGGCTGGGTAGTAAACGATTACTTTGAACTTTAAACTCGAAACGCTTGCCTTTGGGTGTATAATCTGACAGGCACGAGCAGTGATGACCGACCAGGTTGCCTGTCGTCGACGTAAACGCAGTCTTTTTGGCGTCGCCATCGCCGCAGCTGACATGGGCGACAACGTCAAACTGGACGCTAACGAGTACATCAGCACCACCCACACCTTTGTGCCGTTTCTCGACCAAGGTTATTGATAATACCTTCAGCCGTTATATAAACATGATGACTAATCTTCCACCGACTGACACCTCCGGCTTCTTTCT